TGACCTTTACTATAGTCATGAAGAGGGATAGCAGCAGACGGTATGGGAAAGTATTTAATTGGGGGAGGGGGAATTACAATGCTATTAGGCAAGAACTACAGAGACCAATAGGCATCAGATGTTCTCAGGGAAATGCACGACAGAAACGTGGAGGTTGTTTAGGGAGCAGTTGCTACAGATACTGGATAGGTTTGTCCCACGGAGGCAAGGAAAGGATGGTAAGGTGAAGGAACCTTGGATGACAAGACATGTGGAACATCCAGTCAAGAGGAAGAAGGAAGCTTACTTAAGGTTGAGGAAGCAAGGATCGGACAGGGATCTGGAGGTCTACAAAGGTAGCCAGGAAGGAACTGAAGAATGGACTTAGGAGAGCTAGAAAGGGGTATGAGAAAACCTTGGTGGGTAGGTTCAAGGAAAACCCCAAGGCTTTCTATACTTATGCGAGGAACAAGAGGATGGCCAGAGTGAGGGTAGGGTGAATCAGGGGTAGTGGAGGGAACTTGTGTGCGGAGTCAGAGGAGGTAGGGGAGGTCCTTAATGAATACTTTACTTCAGTATTCACCAGTGAGAGGGACCTTGACGTTTGTGAGGACAGCATGAAACAGGCAGCAATGCTCAAACAGGTTGTTGTTAGGAAGGAGGATGTGCTAGAAATTTTGAAAAACATGAGGATAGATAAGTCCCCTGGGCAAGATGGGATCTACCCAAGGTTACTACGGGAAGCGAGGGAAGAGACTGCTGCCCCTTTGGCAATGATCTTTGCATCCTCACTGTCCACTGGAACAGTACCAGAAGATTGGAGGGTGGCAAATGTCATTCCCTTGCTCAAGAAAGGGAATAGGGATGATCCTGGAAATTACAGACCGGTCAGTCCTACTTCTGTGGTGGGCAAATTATTGGAGAGGATTCTGAGAAATAGCATTTATGATTATTTGGAAAAGCACAGTTTGATTAGAAATAGTCAGCATGGCTTTGTGAAGGGCAGGTCATGCCTCACAAGCCTTACTGAACTCTTTGAGGATATGACAAAACACATACATGAAGATAGAGCAGTGAATGTGGTGTATATGGATTTTAACAAGGCATTTGATAAGGTTCCACATGGTAGGCTCATTCAGAAAGTAAGGAGGCATGGGATTCAGGGAAATTTGGCTGTCTGGATACAAAACTGGCTGTCCAATAGAAGACAGAGGGTGGTAGTAGATGGAAAGTATTCAGCCTGGAGCTCGGTGACCCGTGGTGTTCCACAGGGATCTGTTCTGGGACCTCTGGTCTTTGTGATCTTTATAAACGACTTGGATGAGGAAGTGGAAGGGTGGGTTAGTCAGTTTGCTGATGACACGAAGGTTGGTGGAGTTGTGGAAGTGTGGAGGGCTGTTGTAGGTTGCAACAGGACGTTGACAGGATGCAGAACTGGGAAAAGAAGTGGCAGATGGAATTCAACCCGGAAAAGTGTGAAGTGATTCATTTTGGAAGTTCGAATTTGAATGCAGAATACAGGATTATTGGCAGGATTCTCAGCAGTGTGGAGAAACAGAGGGATCTTGGGGTCCACGTCCATAGATCCCTCAAAGTTCTACCCAAGTTGATAGGGTTGTAAAGAAGGCGTATGGTGTGTTGGCTTTCATTGGCAGGGGAATTGAGTTTAAGAGCCGTGAGGTTATGCTGCAGCTCTATAAAACTCTGGTTAGACCACACTTGGAATATTGTGTTCAGTTCTGTTCATCTCATTATAGGAAAGATGTGGGAGCTTTAGAGAGGGTGCAGAGGAGATTTACCAGGATGCTGCCTGGACTGGAGGGCAGGTCTTATGAGGAAAGGTTGAGGGAGCTAGGGTTATTTTCATTGGAGCGAAGAAGGATGAGAGGTGACTTGGTAGAGGTGTACAAGATGATGAGAGGCATAGATAGTGGATAATCAGAGACGTTTTCCCCAGGGCGGAAATGACTATTACGATGGGGCATAATTTTAAGGTGATTGGAGGAAGGTATAGGGGAGATGTCAGAGGTAGGTTCTTCACACAGAGAGTGGTGAGCGTGTGGAATGCGCTGCCGGCTGTGGTAGTGGAGTCAGATACTTTAGAGACTTTTAAGCGACTCTTGGATAGGCACATGGAGGATAGTAAAATGTAGGGGATGCAGGGTAGATTGATCTTAGTAGGATAATAGGTCGGCACAACATCGTGGGTCGAAGGACCTGTACTGTGCTGTCCTGTTCTATGTTCTTAACTCCATCTGGTGTGAAAAGGTGCTTCCTGGTATAATTCCTGAATGGTCCAGCTCTAATTTTCATGTCAGGTCCTTGACTGTCATTTAATGCGGCTGGTATTCCCAAAAATAAGATAGCACAGCACTTTTACACAGAGAGTGGTAGGAATCTAGAACCCATTGCCAGGGGTGGTGGAGGAGGCAGGTATGATAGGGGCTTTTAAGGGACTTTTAGATAAGCTCATGAATTTGCAAGGAATGGAGGGATATGGACCAAGGGCAGGTAGAAGGGGGATTTGTTTAATTTGGTACTATGTTTGGCACAACATCGTGGGCCACAGGGCCCGTTCCTGTCCTGTACGGTTCTATGTTCTAGGACTCAGCTGGTGGATGGACCCCTGTTGTCCACATTAAATCCATTCATTGATTCTCTAAAAGTTCCTATATCATTAATTAGTCGAAACATAGAATTCCTAGTGTGGAAACAGACCATTCAATCCATTAAGTTCACACCAACACTCTGAAAAGCATCCCACCCAGACCTTTCTCCAACCCTATCACTGCATTTCTCATAGCTAATGCACCTAACTTGCACATCCCTGGAAATTACGGGCAATTTAGCATGACCAATCCCCCTAACCTGTTCATCCTTGGACTGTGGCAGAAAACCAGAGCACCCGGAGGAAATCCACACAGACACGGGGAGAATGTGCAAACTCCACACAGACAGTCGCCCGAGGGTGGAATCAAACCCGGATCCCGGGTGATGTGAGGCAGCAGTGCTAACCACTGAGCCACTGTGCCGCCCCGATAAGATTTCTAAAAAAACTGGCCACCACTTGAATAAAATTGAAATAACTAACAATGTAAAAGAATCTGTGAAAGGATTGTTCCAAACTTAGAGTTTTAAGGACAACTCCTTGAGTTTCACTTTCATGGTTTATAGGTGAGAAGAGTTCTCAATTGGATCATTACTTTATGACTGGAGGACAGACATTCAGGATCATAATTTTAATCTACATATGCAAGACAACTCATTAGCTTTGTCCTCAGACAGCAAAGCAACAAATTGCCAATGGTGTGCTTGACAGTTGGTTTAATTATGTTGGCCAAACGTTTTGGTAAATGCTTCTTTGGAGTGGATGTTAAAATAAAAAGAACATTGTATACTTATAGATTGCTTCTCCATCACAAAAGCCCTGATGGAGTGACAGACAGCAGATCAGTCAGGCTACTTGTGGTCAGAAGATGTGGCATTTCCAACTAGTGTTAATTAATGACTTGGAAACCAGAAATGCCAATAGAATACTTTGCTGCCACTGTCAAGTTAAGACATGACTAATGAGCACTGGGAAATTACACTAAAGGGCAAATGTTGTCCACTAAGTATTATCTCAGCAAGCAGTCACCACGTTCAGGAGAGAAGAAAAAGGAGGAAAACAGTGGCCAGAAACAGCGACAAAACCACAGATTTTAAAATGTTTTTTCAATACAGAACAAGACGCACACATATCAAAGATAGCACTTGCAGAATGCTGTGCAGCAAAAAAATGCTACCACATAGGGCTATGTTTTCTTTAACATGAAATATTGCTTTCTAATCACAAAAATCAAAACAAATGACAACTCTTTCCAGCTGCACATTAAGCTGACCTCACACTGTTTAGTCACCATGGAAACAAATGCATAGGCTCTAACACAAGTGGCAATAGCAACAAATCACCTCTCACACAGGTACATAAGCTCAGAGGCAGAGCTGCTGTAGGGGAGGTGGGATAATTGCAATCATCTTTGGGGTCAGCCAACATAGTTTAAATTTGCAGGTCCTAGTAAACTCTGTTGCCTGACTTTGGCCTCCTTGTGAATTGTAATGCTGCGCAATTCCCAACTTCAAACAGAAATGGTGGCACTGGACATTTCCCGGTTTAGTGCCTTTCCTGCATGTTGGCCAAATAGCACACTCTACCAAAATCCTTCCCTCTCTGTGCTCCCCATGTGCCCTTCCCTGAACAAGCAGGACAAAGCTCTGCCGTGTGAAAGTTACACGCCCAGGTTTATAATAAACGTCTGTATTGAACACGCAACTAATGTGGGAAATTCCTTCAAAATAGCCAAACATTTACGAACACAACGTGACACTGGACACAAGGGATGTGACAAGCATTTGCAACAGGGCAACGCAGGTTACAAAACCAGGACAGTTACATGAGAAATTACCTGTATTTCTTCAAACGGGCACTGAGGAAGGGGGTGTTGGGGTGGGTGAGGGGGAGAAGGAAAGAAATCAGAACAACCATATGACTAGATGATTACATAAAAGATGAAAATGTAGTCATTACACAAATTGAAAGATTTTTGAATTTACTTTTAGGAATCAGGTGGTGAAGTGTGATCATACACTGTCCCTTTGCACCTGTAAACCCAGTTTCAATTCAGGTGGAAAAGATATTTCATCTCCACTGACTGTCAGGACCGTACTTGAATTGAATGTGGGTAATCTCAGCTCACTTGTGTGAGACACTAACATAATTCAGTACAACCCATTTGTAAATTGTCATTCTATGTTTTGCATTGGGCAGGAGTGTCACACTGGAGGTGTGGAGGCAGCACATCTTGGCTTTAGCGAAAGACACATTGTTGAAGTCGAGTGAGACAGCTTTCATTTGCATCTAAAAATGGTGCAGAAGCTTTGAGAATATTTGATCCTGACACTGGATAACAAACACAGGGTACAGTCTTTCATTCCAACATTGCCAAATGTGATATTCATTACAATTACATTAAAAAAATGTTCTCATTACATATTGGATGGTCAGAAAAATGGGAATGAAAATACAAAATCTAATCATTATTCAATGTTGTAAATTTGGTAATAAAAACAAGACAACCTACTCGTAAGAACTAAAATGAATGCAAGGAAGGACAAATTCAAATTTACATGAATTTTCAGCAGAGGAATATATCCTAAGTGAAATTCAGCTTATAAATAAGCTTGATATCTAGTCCTGAAGTTTCAATGTAGAATTAGATCAAACATCCACAGTTAACAGGGATAAATAATAGACAGATCAATGAAAATATACCTTCTCATGTCAAAATATGGGGGAAAGGTTGTATTTCAACTTTTAATGATGATTCTACTCTTATCAATGAGTGTACATCCAGTTAGAATTAAAGGATGCCAATGGTTTGCTGAAGAGTACTGTTTTGGGTAGTAACTTGCTGTTAAGCAACTTAATTGCTTCTCAAAGCTTAGGAAAAGAATGCACTGTGATAGTTTAATGAGAGCACACTAGTTAATTCAATCAAGTTATTTAAAAGTATATCATTTAATATAAGCGGGAGAAGGGTCTAGACCCACAATGCAGGATATGATCAAGATTGAAAAGTTAAGAAAAATATTGAGGTTAATTAAGAATTTATTTAAATTAGCAATCAGGTCGCAGCAAACCTGAATTGAAAAATGTTTGTTTGTAGAAGGAAGTGATGACTGTGGGATTTAGAGGCTGTTGGGATGATTCAGGGGAGGTGAGGAGTTCTATAGTTACAAGTTTCTGTGAAAGCGTCAAGAAGGGGAAACTTAAACAATATTCAAAAGAACTGGAATCTTGAGAAGGGAGCAAAGTAACAAGAACCAAACAGAGTTGTGTAAGCTGTTTGGGAAACCAGAAAATTGCTTCAAGATTAGTTGATTCTTTGACAATCCATTATGATATTTGTTGTGGCACCAGCCTCATGTAGGTGTAGAAAGGTTGCAAGGAGCCTGTGGTCCGTTACCCTCCTTATTATTGAAGGAACAGCAATTGAATGGGATACACCAAGAATAGTGCAGTGGTACCCACTTACCAGGGACAATTTGTCTTAAATTATGATGCCCTTCGATATTACTCATTGCAGAACTAATAATGGCAAGTGTCTTACCTTCTATGTGGCATCTCCCGGTCTTCTTCTCTAGTCCTTCGGAGAATTGAATCATTGCAAGGTGGTTCAGGGGTAGTTGACATAACACTGGGGAATCGGGGCCTCAGTGTCTGCTATAACACAAAGAACAGGGTCTGGAAATTTTCTGAACTGCATAGTTGAATCAGAAGTGAGTCATTGTACTGGGAAGCTACATGTTTTAATTTAAAACAACAGGTCGATTCTTTTTATTGCATTAAGGACACTTAGGTGAAGATAACTTTTTTTTAAAAAACAGATTATTTCTGATCAGCGATTAAATATATCAGGGAATTTCATGGATAGTTTCCCTCAGTGAGCTCCAGTGAGTTCTCCGCAGCTCACCTCACTATGTGTACCCACCGTCTCACTGGTACAGCACTCGCACTATTCTGCGACAGCAAAAGTACTCATCTGTGCCAGGACCTTTCGGGACTCACACTCAGTGCCATATTTCAAGGCCAGCTGTCCTCCAGGCCAAATACTGCCAGCCATGAACAGATCTTCATAGTACATGCAGTGGGAAGGATATCAAAAAGGAAAGTCTCCGAGGGCACACGGCTGATGACGTCTCATTGGAAATCGAATCACACAATTGTAAATGTATTTCTATTTTACACAATCATCTGTCACAGCAACTGTAGCAGTAAGACTCAGGTTACACAGGCTACCCATCCTTAGCACCATACCATGTTAGCACCCTGACTGAAGCGTTGCTACTTTTTTTCCCAAATGCTTAGTGTAGCCTAATATCATGTCAGATTTGAATATGAGAGCATCACATAGTGTAAACCCTTCAAACAGGTGATGACATTAACTTTTATTGAACTACAGGAAAAGCAAAGATTAAAAAAAAACAAAAAAAATGCATTTTTTTTGGGATGAAACAGAAACTGCTTGCCTTTTGAACAACTAATTCGCAGTCAATGAACAATAACATAACCCAGCTCACATCTGTGGAAGTGAGGGTCAATTAATTCCTGACAACAAGGTGCAGGGCTGGATGAACACAGCAGGCCAAGCAGCATCATAGGAGCAGATATGATGCTGCTTGGCCTGCTGTGTTCATCCAGCCCTGCACCTTGTTGTCTCGGATTCTCCAGCATCTGCAGTTCCTACTATCTCTGATTCAATTAATTCCTATCTGGTTCGTTGTGCCTGAAGCTGTACCACTCTATCATCTGAAAGTGATGTTCCTCCTACTCAATCTTCCTCCTCAGAAGACTGCTGCCATTCTCCCAGCTCTTCAGCGTTCATCACATCCCTTTCTTTCTCTGTTCCAGTTGTGCAGAGCCACAGTATGCAAAGATAACGTTGCACGCTATCTGGAGCGTACCTCCAGACCAATCCAGCCATTGAAACCTTATCACTAGGAAGCCTGTCTCTGCTCCACCACAGCCTTGCAGAAGATTGGGCTGCATTGTATCTACATTCGGTCTCAGTCAGGGAGTAGCACAACTGAGTTATCAGTCCTGGTGGCAGAGGGTATCTCATGTCCCCTCATAACCATCCTTATAAGGCATACTGGAATGAAAATGAAGCAGGAACCTGACAGTGTCAAGGATATAGGCATCATGTTGATTTGCACAGCATTTGATGCAGGACTTCCAAGCTGTGATACTGTTGATCACAGATGACTTGTATATTTAATGAATGGAAGCCTTTTCTCTTGATGCAGTCAGCCACATAATGCGAACTGGGCACGGTCTGTAGCGCGTTGCACCTAGGGGAGCCAAATGTTGGCAAAACCTACTGCCAGGCTGTAGTACTGACATTGGCATTGGCAAACAAAATGTGTGGTGTGATCTGGCACAAATTACAGCAGTAACAGCCTTTTGGAAAATTTTGTGGGTTGAGGATTGAAAGATTTCACAGAGGTTCCCCCGTAACTCCTTGGAAACAACCAGTTGCATAAAAAGTTGGTGTAGCTTGACGTTCACCAGGCTTGAAGTCCTCCTCCAACAGATGGCACAGTTCAGGGATATCCTCACCCGGAAGAAATGGCATTGAGAACGACGGACTCAAACTCCTGTACCTCCTCTGCATCCTGAGGTGACTTTGTGCTGCAACTTCTTTATCTGGCAGTCATTCAGCACTAGCCATGCAAGTTGCTGCAGGTCTTGGTCTTTGTCGGTGCATTTATTTTTCCTCCATTTCTCTGCACATTCACTGCATTTTCTTTCAGTGGTACAGGCAGGGGTCAATCTGAAATAGCCTGGCACAAATGCAGATATCGAATCAATTCACTTGAAATGAATCAATTCAGATCACTTTAAGATCTTGAGTGAATGGGATGCCCATCATCTGTACAATGACTAAAGTGGATTCATTAGCATCATATTAGGTTTTGCCCAAAGGCAGATCCTGGACTCATAACAGATTTACAAACTTCTCAATTATGTGGAAATCTTGGCATCTGCTAACTTCCTTCAATTTTTACGCCATCAAACATTAATAACCTCTTCTCTTTTTCTTTGAAGTCTTCAGGAAGGAAAGACAGACTGAGAATTTAAGATGTGGCCTAGACAGACTCTCTGGGTAGTATTTAACGAGGACTGTAAAGGCAGGAAAAGGTGGCAGAAGGACTTATTTAGGTGCGAGCAAAACTCTTGGTTTCCCATGTCAGGTTGAGTTTGAGAGATGAAGCGGGTGGCATGCCAGAAATGGCTCAGCTTTCTTGGGAAGCTGTTTCTGACCTGTACATGCTGCTCCAACAAACCCAGGGGCTTTGGAGAGAATTCATGTTCCATTCACTGATTAAATGCTGCCCAAATACTTGAATTCTTGCACCTTTACTAGATTGTTTTCCTTTTAAGAATGCGTGAAGCAGGCAATGGTGATCCACCACTGAAAACAGCCAAGAAAATGGCTCACGATAGCATTAGCACAAACAAACACCGACAGTATAAACAGGAACTCCTGTCAAAAGATTGAATTTGACAAGGCAGGGAATGGCAAAATGCTTGTAGCAAGCACAGCATGATGATTCAGACAACTAATGACAGCAGCATGAACTTTGGAATCAAAGTGAACTTTGGCAGAATGAAAATGATGAATTGGATCCTGAAACTAATTTTCTTGCACAAAAGCTACTGTGACTAATCACTCAAGCGCATGGTAACTGTCGGACCAAGCAGCTGGCTAAAATTTAAGTTTCTAGTTCAAGTTGAGATCTCAAGGGACATTGAATCATTTCAAATTAATTGGGCAGATGCATTGTCATAACCATTTCATCCATTCCATTCACCTCCCAGTTTCAGTTGTTCTCTTTCAAGTTTCAATGCTCCATATTTGTTACACACAACGCTTCATGTAGGCAAAATCACCAGCTATGATGTGGGCCATCTGACCCCACCTACATGAAGGGGCTTACATTCAGGGGAAATTGGTAGAACTGCACTACTCATTCTTCACAGTATACATAAAACTGTCTGTTTGATTGGCAAACCAACTTCACATCCACTCCAAAACAGCTCATCAAATGGGTTGCCGAAACATGTCGGTAAAGTCAGCAACATTTATTTTGGATCATAATGACAACAAAACTGCTTGCATTATGCTGTTTCTGTACAGAAGTTCATCTCTCCATCTGCCCTCCCTGTTCATTATAAAACACAGTACAGATAGAAGAGAATCTTGAGTTCTAAACAGAGGAGGGAAGTGGTAAAACAAAGACTGGAGAATACAACTGAAATGTCATTGGAAAGCAACTATTAATTGCTGGTCAGCTTTCACTGCTGCCCATTTTCATAGATTGCCTGAGGATTTTTTGCTTGTGATTCACATAAACTAGAACAGAAACTATCAAGCAATAAAAAAATTAATCCTGACTTTGCTGTATACTGCATTAGTCTTGGTGTCCTAACACAAACAATAAAAGATTAGCTTAATATAGCCAACACCTTTTTCTGTTATCTTACAGTACTGAAAAACATTTTGAAAAAAGTCATGTCTTTTCCTTTCTTTATCAATAGAAAAAAAAAGTGTTACTTGTCATAAATTTTCTAAACTAATACAAACTTGCACCGTTAAAGCACCTTTCATTCCAAAATATTTTATCATTAAGTACTTCTTGAAGTGTCGTTACACTAATAATGTAGGACCAATTTTCCTTACACCGAGGTGTGAACAGCCTTGGGACACACTGGACAACAAAGACTCTGTATAATTGCATGTTACCATTCTCTACTGTTTTGACTATTTGATTCCCATATATCTTTACTTTGTTATATTTATTTTGTTGATGCCTGACCTACAATATTTGGGGCATGCTCAATGTGTCATCAGCTAAAACCACTGAATCTCTTTCAGCTGCACCCTTCACAAGAATATACTTCCTCGCACTTATGCCTATTTCCAGTAAATTCCTCCTGATTGGTCAGCATGAGTTTGGTGGAAAATTGAAAAAAACTGCCATTTACATTGTACATCCAGTTTCCTGAGGGGAATTTCTGGTGATTGAATTCTTTTTGTGGTTTACAGATGTTATTAGGGCATTTTGTATTACTGACTCTAAACAACCAAGATAAGTCATGGGCAATTGTTTTGTATTTAGTTTTATTTTTCTGACAGTTCCATCAGAATATTTCTCAAACCATAGAAATGTTGGTTTTGATGCCAGAATTATTCTCAAAGGGTTAACACAACCAACAGATAAAACATGCGCAAACAAGGTTATAAATAGCTGTCAAAGTTACTTACCATTGTACTCAGAGGATCACAACCATTAATGGAGTTAGGAGTTTCCATTTTACTGCTGCTGACATCTGACAAATCTTCATCTAAATAGGTTGAAGATGGGAAGAGGGGTTCAAACGTCAGGAACACGAGACAATAATGTCAATGCACGAAGCGGTCATAATATGTCACGAGGAGGGAGCACAATATATAAGCTGCCACCATTCTTTTTATCTCAATCCATTATATCATCACTCTGCTCATTTTGTCAGTTTAACAAGTAATAAAAGCAAAAAAAACATGATTTGCAGAATATCTGTAAAACCAAAATACCATTTGATTCAAACGGTAATTTTTATATCTGAGAGAAGAACAAACTTTCAGAATTTTGGGCAGATTTCATCACGTTTTGAAGCAAAACATGTCAACTGTCTTCTATAGGTTACTATGTAAGGCAAATTTGCTTGTTAGAAAAGTCATCAACCATACTTCAATGGACACTTCTCAAATTTCAAATTAATTAGTGTAGTCTCAATAGCCTGAAATATAATCACAACGTGTCGTTTTCAACATTTTGTCCACAGTATTAAGAACCTCTGAGATAATTTACAGTGATTATATTCTTAAAGGCAAATGTTTTGAAGAATGGAGGGTTAAAGGGGCAAAGTTTTCAAAAATGTACTCAGCAAATTAGTTTTTAAATGTCTGCTTCAATATCTTTCATAACCTTGTATTGCATGTCTGCATACAAATGGAGTAAGTATTCCCAACATTTTTTTCTGAAAGCCAGTGTCCCCTTTAAAGCAGGTCCCTCTATAATTAAAATTACAAACAAAGATATTTGATGCATGGACCTTGACTGAACAATCTGTGCTAATTTATTTTTTCCTTCCAGTGATTCCTTTTAAAAGAATAATCTATTTTGCAGCTCTGATCTCTTGCTAACATTGCCATGACTACCATTTGGAATCAGAGTTTCAGCTAGACCACCCAATATGCATTTAATGTAGCATCTTAATCTTTCTAAAAAAGAAATGGCGCAAGAGATTGCTACAGATAAATACCTACTGTGCTTTTGTTTACGTGTATGTAAAGCTAGATTAAAGTAGGTTTCTCCAAAATTCCTAAGAATACAAATAAAATTAAACATATGTAAACAATGGGAACATACAACCAAACATTCAATATACATTTAAAAAAAATCAGGAGTAATGCTCTGGCCAGAAGTGCTTAGAATGCAGAACTCAGGACCACAAAGTAGGTTGAGATGAATAATGTAGGTTCACTTTCGGGGAAGCAAGATACTTGTCTCTAGTTAACACCGTGAGGACTGAAACCTTTTTTTTTACCCCCGCTACAAACAGTTTCCTAAATATTGATTTCATCTCTCTCACTGCTTACTACCTGAGGCTGAATAAGAGTGTTCACAACCTTGCCATCATAAAACCCCAAGATGAGTTTCTGAGCCCAAGTTGTGTTGTCACTAACTTCAATCTTCATAACATTGCCCAACTAAGACCCCAGTCTTAGCTCATGTACTGCTGCAATTATTATCCATGCCTTTGTTTGATCTAGATTTGACTATTTTAATGCTCCCTGGTCAACCTCCCACTTTCTACCCTCCATAAATGTGCACTCATCCAAACCTTTATTGCCCATTTTCTTCTTGGCAGCAAATCCCAGTTGCCCACTGTCCTTGCAGTTCTCTGACTTACACTGGTTTCCATTTAAACAATTCCTTCATTTTTAATTTGTCATCCTTATTTTCAAATCCCTACCAAGACGTTCCTCTTCCATTTTTCCAGCCACACAACCCTCCAAGATATCAGCACTCCTGTATTCTAGACTCAAGTATCTCGAATTATAATGGCCCCATCTTTGGAATCTGCGTCTTCATCTGTCAGGGTCTTAAACTCTTGAATTCCTTTTTCTAAACCTACTAGCCTCTTTTCTTAGTCTTGCCAGCTTTTCAGATACTCCTTATAATCTCTCTCTTTGAGCAAGCTTTTGGTCATCTGGTGCAATATTTCCTGATGTGGCTCAAAATTAAGTTTTGCCTACAATGCTCCTCAGACCATGGGATATTGTAAGAGATTAAATGTGCAATTGGTTGATTCTTCAGTGATATTGAAAAGAACAGTAGGATATAATTAAGTGAAGAGTAGGAGGAAGAAGTTTGTTTGAAGCGTAAAATATGGCACAGACATGTGGGGCTAAATGATCCGTTGATTGAGCTGTTATTTCTACATCATAAAAAGACAATGGTAGATATGCTTAGCAAGCTAGTTACCATCCATAGAAAGAAAAGCTGATGTTTCACATGTAACCTTTCTACAAAATTGCTTTACGTTTCTTTTTGCAGCCTGTTCTTGTAAAAGGATTCCTCTCCCTTGTCTGAAAATCAAGAGGCAAAGCAGAAATGGGACGATTTCCACCATTGTTTATCATTGCTGTCCAGGTGCCCAAAGTTCTGGAGTGTGACTTCTGAATTGAATTCTGCATTTCTGAACTCTGTAGGTAAATTAGCGCTCACACCCCTCACTGACCAACTTAAGTACAAGCTCAGTGACCCAGAGCTTACACGCATTAAACATTTGTACACCTGTTTCAGATGATGCACATTTTAAAACTTAAAACACTTATATCATGAAGAATTGCATCTGGAAGGGATATCTTAGGCCAATGTGGAATTCCAAGCCTATTTTTTTCAAGCACCAATTCAGATTAGGTTTATGGTTGAGCGACAAGAACCCACACATAAAATAAACTTACCATTTCATTTTTGTTTAAAAGAATATAAGAGCATCCAAATTTGACAGGCAAGAAAAGACAAGTTGATCCATCATGCCTGTACCATACCATGAGTGCCACAACAGCATTAATGAACAAAAACCTTCTGGTTGAGGCAAAATACAGAGAAATTGCCCAAGGCCAACACGGAGTAAAGTCGTTTCCCCAAACAATCAAAGACAGTTCAAGAAATCACAAGGATGAAGTATTTCGTATGTTTTCTAAGTATCTGGGGTTAAGCATTCTGTTTTACCAGAAAAGAATACATCTTCTGATGAAAATGTCTCTTTACACAGTTGGTGTATCCCACCTCACTTTCTTGGCTGACAGTCTCAACAGCCAGTAGGCCACATATGCAGAGCCTAATTGCTAGAAGTCTTAGAAAACACATCTTCAGACTGGAAAGTTTATTTTGTCATCTACATACCTTGATAATCTTGTTGCCTGGGAAACGTGCATGGAGATTTCGGTCTTCCCTAAAATAAAAATTTTAAAATGGGACATTTATGTGAATACATTGTAAATGAATGTTGTGCAGCATGCACATGCATATTTCATTATCAAACTTCACTGCAATATTTAACATTTAAAAGAAGGAACAGATCTTAATGTGCACACCATGGAAACACTTGTGGCGCAATTATTTAGCAACCAGCCAACAACCAAAGCAACTTAGGGTCTCCTATATATGGTCTCCTGGTATTTTAGGTGGTTTTTGTAGTAGGAGAGAAAGAGAGAGGTGTCAAGTGTTACAAATATTGTAAAAGGGAGTTCCAAAATATGGATGCATAGTCATTCAAACAAATCTGGCTGATAAAAAGAACAAACAGGAAAATAAAAATAAGTCAGTGGTGGAGAAACGGAAAACACAAACCTAAGAAATGGCTGTGTCTGGCAGAAACAAAGACTCAAGGGTTTGAAGATTATGGCGAAACTCAGACAATTCACTGAGCTCCAAGTAACCAGTGGAACTTAGCAAAGACACAGGTAATGGAGATTCAGACTTCAGTGTAAATAAGAACAAAGGCTGCAGTATTCTGGCTGACTTGTAATTCATCATAAGAGTAGGGTTGGGAAAACAGAAGTGTCTGGTCAGGAGAAGGCTGCAGAAAACAAAACTAAAACTGCTGAAAATCTGAAACATAAACAGAAAAATCTGGAATCATTTAGCAGATCAGTCAGCAACAGATTAGCTAGCATTTCCGGTATAGACACTATAACAGAAACCAGAATTGAACAGATTGCACAAAAAAAAAAAATGAGAACAAGAGGGACGGAGACGTGATCGGGGAAATGTGATTTTAAAGTGATTAAAAAGAAAATGAGAGACAGTTAATAGTATAAACATGAAAAGGTTAGGAAAATGCATCACCAGTACTGGTAAATGGGATTAGGTTGAAGGTCAGGTGTTCCTCACATGCAGGTGCAGATTCAATGAGCACTATGCTTTTATGCTTCTGTAAAGGAAATTAATGGCACAATACGTGAATAACTGAAATGACTGCGCTTTCTTATATCAAACACAATGAACCAAACAGTAAGCTTAAACATGACGACTGAAATAAATGCATTAGAGGCAATTTTGACTTTCAGTAACCAAGACAGAAGCAATATCAATTCAGATTGTCCATTTTGGATCTCTCCTGATTATCAAATCCATTGACAGTCCATAGAAGTTGATTTTTTTAAAAAATCGTCACGCAAAGTCAAAGTGACCCACACTAGGTGTGAGAGGAACAAATGAAACAGTGTCTGATTTTCTTTCAGCAACTTAAAATGAGTGAGTATGTGTCTGGCTACATTTCAGCTTTAGCAAGCTGAAGCCTGGAGCTGCAGGCTGTGTGTTTGTGACCACAAATTGTACTAAGTTTCCTATTTCAATCTTGCTGCATGGAGTGGAGTCCAGTGGAAATCAAGGGTTTCTTTCATAAGAACCAGGGAAAGCTGACATACGTGATAACACAGGAGCTGATGTCCATCCTATGAGCTTCACCAGGGAAAATGTGTGGCCTAGGGAGAGTACGAAAGAGGAAGGGTCACCGGACCCGAAACGTTAACTGTTAACTGACCCCGAGAAAGTAAAGGACACTGGGCAAAATGCTCACTTAGGGAGCCAGTTTAGACAGGAGGGATGAATAACCTTCCACCTGAGACGTGACAGTTCTGTGATTTTGTGCCCTAAGTACAGGAGTAAGTTGCTTAGATCACACCATTGCTGATCATCTCCCAATGTCCAGAGGATACTGTACTGCAGTCCAGTCTCATTTTTAGATAATTCATATTTTTTCTTGATTATAGTACAGGTTAGTTGCAATTACATATTCTTGATAGATCACTAATCAAAACAAATTAAAGCTGGCATTGTGAGACAACAAGGTGCAGGGCTGGATGAACACAGCAGGCCAAGCAGCATCATAGGCCTAGGCCCGAAACGTCAGCCTCTCTGCTCCTATGATGCTGCTTGGCCTGCTGTGTTCATCCAGCCCTGCACCTTGTTGTCTCGGATTCTCCAGCATCTGCAGTTCCTACTAAAGCTAGCATTGTGCTGTGTGGTGACATTCAGCCAGAATTGCAATGAAACGATGCGAATGCCTGTCACAGCAGCTGTGTCGGGAGTAAAGCAGCAGTAAGACGAGTTAGTCACAGTAACCTGCTGTTGATAAATCACTCAAAAAGAGTTCTTATTTTATGATAATGAGACCTTTGAACACTTCAGTTACAACATGTCCACTGAAGATCTTCTATATGACAAGAATAGGAATTTCACACAAGCCTTCTTTTGCTAATCTTATAAATTAATAGTTACATACAATTCCGTAAACTTTAAGGTTTGGTCTCCGTCTTAGTCGTGGCTCCTGCACAAAAAATTCATTATCTTCAGGCGATTCCTCTGATGTTGATGAACTCGCCTGCTCTTGTCCGTTCCTCTTCTGACAGGAATGACACAAAGTCTGAGAGATAACAGTGACTGGAATATTCCGTGGCAGGCTCTGTACAAGCAGACAGAAAAAGAAGAGGATTAGATCAATCTAAAAAGACATTTTTCTTTCTGGGACATCTTTCCCATAAAGTTTCCCCTTTTCTCACCTCCTTCCATACACCGGAGAATTATTCCACACAAATCGAGGTGTCCTCTAATACTCAGCCAATCATTTTTTATATCTTATCAGAAATAAGGAGCGTCACTCAATTCTTTGATTATGGAGAGCACTATTGTACGCAGGATCTTAGTCACATAGCTATGTGAAAATACAGACTGACACATAAATAAATGTAAACACTCACTGTTTCCAGTGAGGGTTGCTGAATCGTGATCAGGAGTAGACGTGGGTCTCTTTTTTAATGACTCATGACACTGGGCAGTCCATTTATCTTTTAGAGAAAGGACCTTCAACTGTCCTTCCTGAAAGGATTGGTTTTCTTTTAGAGATCAAGCTCATCATCCTTATACCCTTTCTTTGGTTCTTCAAATACATGCTACAGAACTCGACTTCAGACTACAGAAGAAATGAAGTGATTTTCTCCAATTAAAAGGCAGAGAGAATTAGACCATTATGTTACGTACACTATGAATCCTTACTTCAGGATGAATTATGCATAATTCAGGACTGTCCTTAGAAGTGATATGGGTTTCCATGGATGATTCTAAATGAAAATGAGAGATCACTTGCAGGAGTGAATGTGAGAGTGGCGGATTTAATGCCACCTTTTGAGAAGTTCTGGACATTAACTTTCCAACTGCGTGCTCCATGAAAAGTGTTATTAGAACCATAATGAGTTTCAAGTATTTTTGAGCCAGACAGTCTGCATTCTGTTATATTGCCAACTGAATCTTACAAGAGTCTGAGAATCAAATGTGAAATTCAGCACAAGTCAATCTCAATACCAGGATCAACTCGCACCACTTTTCCGCTTTTCACAAACAGCAAACATGTACTGCTTATTGAAAGCTTTGTTAATGGCCCAACTCCTCTCATTAATATTCAGCCTTCTGTATTACCAAACTCACCAAAACAGATCTCATGAAAACTTGACAAGAAACTTAGAGCAGGTACAGATCAGATTCAGCTTGCTCCAAACAATCTCTGTCTTGGACACTGGGCACCGACATCTCACGGCACTCTTCATGGGCACCAGCTACACATATCTCACATCCATGGACATTGGCATCCATTATGTGCCAGCCTCCAACAAACCTCATGCCACATCTCCAATCCTCTTAGAATGCTGCTGCACATCTGGACTCTTCATTCACGGTCAATGTGCTCACTCACTGTGCCTACCTGGATGCTCACAGCATCCCTGCCCTGCCTTGCTTTTTTGCGCATTGCCCCCTCACCCAGAGGTTCAAGGCTCATATTACTTCTGTGTTGCCATGCCATTTAGCTCAGATACAAAGAAAAGACATTTGTCACATCTGTCAGTTGGCCTCGGCCAAGTTTTGTTTCAAGGGGGTGGGGGTTTGGGGTGGTGGTGGTGGTGGTGTTCGGCACAGTAAGTCAAAGACAGCCTCAGCAACTTGTGCAGGAGCTTGGACACAGTCAGTCAGGCATTTGGGGTGGTCAGAGTCAGGATAATCTGGGGGTGAGGAGCTGAATGTTGGGCAGCCCATCACCCATCTTGTGTATTGCTGCCCTATTCTGTGCTGCCTTTATAGAGTTATACAGCACAGAAACAGACCCTTTGGTCCAACTTGCCCATGCTGACCAAGTTTCCCAAACTGAACTAGTCCCACTGACCTGTGTTTGGCCCATATCCCTCTAAACCTTTCCTATTTGTATAGCTAGCCAAATGTCTTTTAAATATCGTCACTGTTCTGGAATGCGACGGGGGGCACATATTTAGGGAGATTTACAAATATCACTGGAAATGTTTATACGGTACACAAATATACTATTTTTATGGCATATGTTCCACAGTGTTGCCACTGTGCACTTTTGGTGGATGGGGTGCCATGGAAAATCTAATATTAAAAATAGGTTATAATCGTGTTACAACATGAAGTAATCTATCAAATCCATAGAATGTTTTCGGAAAATACTTGCATGCACTGTGATGTACACATTGGTAACAAAAACAACAACAATAAAACACTGCTTAATGTTTTAATCATTTCTGACAATTTTTAGATTTGTGACGCATGCTTGTGTCAATTAAATTTGGAAGACTGAAGATTAAAAAATGTACCTTGTAGATTACACTAAGTGTACACATGCAAAATAACTTACACATATGGTCTACTAATGTTTCTCTATCAGTTGTACAGATTTTTATGTTCTGCACAGTCTGCAAAACATAGGAGTTCTAACATTAACATCTAATTTCACTGATTTCGGGCATCCTTGGCTTGCTGTTTACTGACTGACCAGAGGTGGCACTGTTGTCAGCAGCTGCAGAAGGGCTGCAGAGTTTCTCACATTTAGTGTGCAGCCAAAGGGAAGAGAGGGAGGCAGGGAACTGAAATACCAATTTCAAAATACATTTATTTCAATTTTATAAAGCTATGGCACACAGAGTACCTTTTCAGGGCACTGAGCACTGTTCACTGAATGACTCACCTTCACTAATGAATCAAATTCTGGAAATAGGAGAACTAATTTGATTTCATAAAGTTCTTTGGCTAAACCTGAGCTCCAACTTGTAGCTGCTTTAATTGCTTCTCTTTTTTTTCCAATTTATTAACTTACTTTTAAATGCTTTTACTATGAATCAAATTTGAACAGACAGAGGGAGGAAGGACAAAGTATCTAACATTGGCTGGGAACACAGAAGGAAGCGTGAGTATTCGTATGAAAAGAGAAGGGCTGGATTGTGTACAGTATCTGGAGTCTGGAGATTACCTTTGTAACCTGCAGTCAACTTGGGATTCAAAATGGGAGAATGCTGTTGGGATAACATTTTGGGGAAGTGATGGTCTAGTGTATTAGTTATACATTAAAAATATCATTTTGTTTCTTTCTTCTTTCCAAATTGTTAAGATGTAAAGTGGCCTAAAGGCAATTACAGTTTTGACATGCCTCCTTTGTCAATTTTTAGAGCTATGTTAGCTTCTTTCACAAGTGACCAAAAGCTTGATCAAAGAAGTAGGTTTCAATCATAAAAGAGGAAAGAGAGGTCAGGAGGCAAAGAGGCTTGTGAAGGGGTTGGTCCCTTTCTCCAAGTCATTGATTTGAATTGTAAATATTTGACGTCTCAGCACGGATCCTTGGTACTTAAATCATCACATCTTGCCAATTCAAAAATGACTCATCTACACTGACTTACTGTTTTCCGTTAGCTAACCAATCAAAGCTCATTAACATCAATGACAGGTATATGGCCATGGATCATACCAAGTGTAATAGGGAGTGGATGACACATTATTAGCAAGTAGTTGATGTGGTATCCAAGTGTACAAGAATACTGCCACCATTCTTCTCTCATTGGTTGGGTCTCAGATCCTAATTGGCTTACATTGGTAGAGGAACAATTACAAATGAGTCTGAACAAGAAAATTCTCTTCTTAAACTACAAGATGAAGTTCATTACATGATGACACACAAGCTACATTATCTAGTTAAACATTGCTACTAAGACCATTGGATGACATAAATGACACACCATTCCTCTCAAGATCCAGAGCTATTCTTCCAATTTCACCACCCAAGATTATACATCATCATCAAAGATTATTGCTGTCTCCAACATTAACCTTCTCAGAACTATTACCTTATATGATATCTCAACCAAGGTTTCTTCCGATTCTTAATATTTGTCCATTCATGTACGTAGTTACATTTACCACTAATCCATCATCCCCCAAGTCTCTGACTTTACAAATTCAAGGGCTAGATGATCCTTATCTAGAGAACCCTTAGTCTTCTGAATGTCTTTTAATGAGTAACTCTTGCCTGTTGAATGACAGCAATTTGCTCCTGGTCCAGTTGTTCCCTGACTGGTTTCTCTTTAAATGGATTGGACATAAATTGGTGTCTCTTGACCTATTCACTGTCTCTTGAAACAAACTGAACACCTCCTGCTCTCACAAACTTGTTCAGGTCTAGACATGTGTGCAGGCTCAAGAATGAGAAATATTGATTGTAAATCATGTGCACATTCTCAACTCTCTTTGTGATGCAGGGTTGTTTGTAGCATACCTGAGTTAGGCCATCTGGATCATGTAGTTTCATCTCTAACAATTGTAACTCCATTTCTTCAGTCATAGTATTTAATTTGATAAAACAATGGCACACATTCCTGCATCAAGCTTAGTTTTAATGTGATGTCCATTGATATAAACAGGTTCCATCTAATTGGAGTTTTTTGGATCACCAATTTCCATTAGGAACGCATTAGGTGTTTTTTTTAATGCTGGTGGTTGTATCCTATTAACTGGTTTGTATGAAACGGGTTTTGACATTTTCCTGCTCTGAAACCGTCTCTTACGTCAGCACATTATCTGGAAGTGAAGTAGCAGGGAGTGGAGGGTGGGAGAGTGGGACAGGTCATCGGTAGAGGGAGCAGTTGAGAAGAATGAGGAGAGATAGTTTACCTTTCTGATAGCCATACAGGATCGAATTTGTGACTTTGTTCAGAGCAGGTCTGGTACTATCATATATATGGGTGAACACCTTATTTCAGGGATTCACACACCGAAGTTCAGAGAGATGAGAGTGGATCTGGGCAGTAGCACAGCAGTTAAGGACTTGGGAAAGCATTGGAAGGCAACTTGCAACTTTGAAGGGATCAAACGTTTTATTCTAACAGATGGATAATAACAGTAAATTTGAAGGAAAGCTACTCAGAACCAGACCAGAAAGGACGACTAATAATGTCAACAAAAATAGGAGCCGAGAACAGAATGTCAATTGTCAGCAGTTTGCTTGAATCAAAGTCAGGAAAGTAGGTGGTAGGACCTCATCCACAAACTAGTCAGAAAAGGGAGAAAGATGTAAATTCAGCATTTGGGCAAAGGGAATATACAAGAAGTGGCCTAGGAAAAGGGAAGGAA